ATAGTCATATGCCTCATAATCTCATAACAAGTATGATAATGTTGAAGCTAACAACCTAGGTCGAATACATGTTCAAACACACTTAATTCACAAACATGTTCACATAATCTCATGACATGTTTTTCAAAATATCCACTTGCTTAGGACCATCACCATCATGCTCGCTCACGTGCCACGCTGGACTCCATCACCTAAAAAAATTAGATAGTGGATGCGTGAGCAGAAGTCTACATGCTCCGCAGAAACTAGTCTAAAGTACACATCTAATATGATAACACCCCATGAAATAAGCATATACGTAAGTAAAACTGGCTACTACTACTCACTTTTCACCACATTCAGTATAATCACGCATCATGATATAACACATCATGTAGTATGCATATATGTAATGCACATCATGTAGTAAGCATATATGTAAGTAAAGTTGGTCACTACTAACTGAACTAATGCTTAACTCCCGGACGTTGGCCGGTAAATCGTGTACACACTTTGAAGGATCATTTAGGCACGAAAGGCCTCCCTCGAAGGTGATAACTTATTGAAGAGACTTACTCTTTGGTGACCTATGTCAGTAGGTCATTGCCCACGCTCGAAAAAACTCTTACATATATACCTCAGATATGGAAGAGCGATTATAGAAAATGTAGCACCAGTACGGGGTCCCCACCTGTTATGCTGATAAATCATAATGCAAATGCTGAAAGGATGTGGATGCGTAACTGGCGGAGGCTCGACTCTCCTCAAGCAACAAAATATTTAAGCTATTATATTCTAAGTCTTTTGCTCAACTTATAATACTCGTTCTTTACTCTCTTTAATTTTATTTATTATCTTAATTAATAAATCTTTCATCTGTTCTTACTGGTTGTTCTCTAGCTCGGCTTAACTTCATTTTTATCTTATCTTCTTAACTCAATTTCTCAACTGCATGGCCATAATAATTTATTTAACGAGCTAAGTTACTAAATCTTTATCTTGAGTTGTATAGGGTTTCCGGATAATTTCTAATTCTGGAACTACATTTTCTAACTTAGATTAGTCTGACTCAGTTCGGAAAAATACTTAAGTTCCAGCTCACGCTTGGACCGGAAAAATCTCGAACCGGAATTTCTCGAACCACCCGGATACTGGCCTAGACCGGTTCGGTGACTGGACAGGCGGCTCCCTCGTGAACCGGCCGATCGCTCGATGCCTCGGTGCAGCCCGGCTCGGGAAATTATTCACATATCTTACATTTACTCGGCACCTAAAATTGGGTCGATCAAGGGTTCTAGTTATCAAAGCAACCTAACTCATTTCAAGTTGAAAATTTAGGCATGAACTTAACATAATTTATGAGGATTTTAGACCTGCAAATCTCGGCAACTCATTCATACATAGCCTCAAAAAATTTACCGATTTTGGATAAAGTATCGATTTTAGATACCCTATCAAATGACCTCCAAAAATCCTCAAATTTTAAACATAGCTTCAGCATAATATGACATGATTTTTGGCACAAGATCTCAGCATGAACTTCTCTCTAACTTAAATTTCATTAAATAGCCGATTTAAGTCAAATTTTTTATTTATAGTTTACCTAGCAAACCATCTCCAAGGGGATTTTGGTGAGCCTACCTTCTTCGGGACTCAAAAACAGGAAAATGAGATGGCTAAGGCTTCTTCAGTGGCTTGGCGTGCGAGGCTCGCATGCGGTGTGTCTTGGGGGAGTTGATGGAAGCTCTTGGGGCTGCTGGAGGTTCACGGCTTGGAGTTGGGCCTTCAGACGTGGGGCTTGCGACGAGCTCTGGTGCGGTGGAAGCTCGGGTCGTGCTCGGACAAGAGAAAGGGGGGCGAATTTTGTAGTGGCTAAGGCTAGGGAATTTTAGATATTTGTGTTTTTTACTTAGGACATTTTGAGAGAGTTTCTTGCTTGAGGTGGTGTGGAGGAAAAATGAAGAATAAGTGGTGGTCTCCTTTTATATAGCTAGGGTTTGGGAGAGGACAAATGTACAAAAGTAGTTTTGGATTCTTCTCTTATGACTAGGCTTGGTCTCCTATAGTACATGCTTGGTAGGTGAGCATTTAATATAAATTCAAACTTGAGTCTTGAAGACCAAGTTCAAAACCCTAATGTACGTACTAGGCATTGGGCCATTTTACTAAAGTTAGATTGGACCTTCTTGCATCAAAAATTGGGCCGAGTGGCCTTGGGCACGGTTTAGGCTCGGGCGTGCTACTTGGGCCGAGGTCTTGGCTCGACCAGGCTTCGACTCTTATTTTATTTCTCGATTTTCTAACGCTCGATTCGGATTAAAAATGGTCACGTTTACAGCCATTTTTCTAAGGTATAACAAACGGGGACTTAGGCTAAATTATTTCGTTTCCGAAAATAAAATTCGAACAAATCCTCCTAGGCTTAGACTTATGATTTATTAATCAGATTAAATGCTTATTATAATAATATAATGCCTTGATTTTAAATTATTTGAACTTGGAATAATTAAAACTTGCTATTTTTAAAACTAAAGTCGAGCTCATATAGATAAAAAGATTCGGGGCGTCACACTCATTTGTGGATTGTTACCTGCTTTAAGTGGCAGTTGACCCTTGGTCTCTCCTGCTTGAGTTTGAATTATATAAATAGGAGATCATAGGTTACATCAAGATACTCATCCTCATTTGTTTCCTTACTCTCCACAAAACTTCACGCATTATAACATAGAATTGTGCTATGTTTTTGGCTTTGAGTGACGTGCTATAACTTTCAAAACGTTTGTTGTATTTTCTTTAGGGATAGAACGCTGACCCAATACTATACATGCGTACTTATCGTGCAGAAAAAAAATTCTCTCTTTTCCTACTTCAAGTTCAATTATACAATTCAATTTTAGTCTTAACATTGTAAACACTACAATTATCAATTTCAGTCCCATAGCATTTGTTGAAATGTCACTCAGAAATCTGAAATATCAACTTCTCACAACAATCACTGAAGTATAAAATATAACATCTTACACAATCGCTGAAGACATAATATAGTATAGACAACCTTTTAACGATGAAATATGCATCTGTTTGCATTGCATGCCCACTGTAAGCTAAATAATACTCTTCAATACTTTCACAAGAATAACTTAAATCATAATTTATTAGATTAATTGTACATAGTATATGTTTCAATCTGACGATTTTCTTTTCTTTTCCATTATATTTATTTATTTTTTTATTTTTACTTGATGAAACCTGAAATTCCTAGAGGACCCAGACAACATCACTAAGATGCATACTTGGTATTAGACCGAGTTATATAAGCACGTCTATGCAATATATCTTTAATCTAGCGACATGCATAAATATGAGAATTCAAATATATCTTGTGCAGCCATTAAATCATCCAAGTTAAAGCTCATCCAAATAATTTTAATATCCTAGAATAGAAACTCTTATCTTGTTTGTTTATATGAATAATATTACTTCAAATCAATCGGTTTGGGTTCAATCTTCATCCCAAACACAACATACCACGTGAATTGAGCAATCCCTTTTGTTGTTTTCCTAATGAACCGTGATGGTGACAGACTCCCATATTAAATAAAAATTTGGCACTTGGTTAATTAATTAAAATCTGAAACTATATAGTATTTCATACTGAACAATGAAATTTTGAGTTGCTCAATAGATAAAAAGTTTAAATGTACAAAAATTGAACAAATATAAGGATCATGCCACGACAAGAACAGAATATTATCCCTCAATAAGGGACTTGGCCTCTCTCACTCGTGGAGAAAAGGCAAGGATTATTAATCTTAGGTCGAAAAATCTTCGCCTTCACTCGTCTATGAAGGTCATTTTTTTTTATTGGAAGTGATTAGTAGTTAGAATTATGTGAGTGGATAAATAGTAAATTATATTTGATGTGATGTGTGAAAATGATTGATTGATATTATATAATTATATCGATAATATTGAGGAGAGTTGAATTTAGTTAAATTTAAGTTAAAAAAGTAATTGTTAAAAAATGATTGGGTAACTGATATCCAAACACCTTCTACGAAGTCTAATTAAAATCTAAGGGTAGGGTGTATTCGTTAGGTATTTTAAGACTTATTAAAAGTTTTAAATTTAGGAGGAATTCTATAAAATCTTAAGTTTGGAGGTCAGATTTCGAGTGGGAGTTCTTATATAGGTTTTTGTTTTAAAATCCCAGCAAATCTTAAAACGTCATAACAAATATTTAGTCATAAATAAGTTAAATATTTCATAATTTGTTAAAGACTTTTTAAAATCTCAAAGGTAATAACTAAGACTTTTAAAAGTCTTAGTTTATAAATACATTTTGAAAGAAATATATTATTATTTATATTTAAAATGACACCGTCACTTACACGACTTATCATCTTATATTATATATATTTTCTTAATTACATCATATAAGTATTTAGTTTAAATAATTTATTTTTATAATTAATATTAATAGGTAATTTAATTTTTATTATAAATATAAATAAAACTTATTATTTATTTTGTATGTATAATATGTATGCCAAATCGAAGCTCATCAAGACATGATTAATTTGATATATTATATATAAGAATTTGTTAACAAATAAAAAAAAATATTAACTTTTAATATATTTATAATTTAAGTTAGTAAATTTGTTATAATTCTAAAAGAAAGATTGGAAAAAATGATACCTTATAAATCGCGTGTACAATATGAAAGAGTATTAAAACATAATTAATGCTTTTAAAAGGGACCATAAATATCTCATATATTTATGGATGTTTCAAGTCTAGTTATTTTTTGTTGGAAATAAATTAAGATTCATCCAATCCAAACACCAAAGCTTAAAAATTTGCCACATAAGATCTCGAAACGTGCGAGTCTAGCAGGTTCAGCATATTGTAGAATTATATACGGAGAAGATATAAAATGAATCTACATTTCAAAAAAATAAATAAATAAATAAATAAATGAAATCTAATCTACTAAACTACTACTTCCTCACTCTTGAGCCTGAGCGGGACAATCTCACATGGTGGTTGCGCCACATTGGAGCTTGGGCTCCACTCTCCATCTCTTTTACAGTTTACTCTTTCACTTTCCAATCCATACTCCATTTCATATTCCCTTATAAATCCATTCATATCACTCTCCTTCATTTTTGCCTCACACCACAACTCAGCTCCATAGCCATTGCCTCAAACTTCTCGCCATCGTCGTCGTCAAATGGACCTAACCTTGCTTTACGGCCAACGCGGCCAAAACCTCCACAACCACCGCCAATCGGACATGCATGCCGCCATCCAAATCCCGCCCCATTTTCTTCACGCCGATTGCGGCTCTCCAGTCCCAAACCCTAACCGGCAATGTAACAGCAGCTTCCCGGCCAACGGAGAAGCCAGTAGCTCATGTTCCCCGGCCAACAAGAGAAAAGCGGAGGTTATTTGCTTTCAAAACCCCTTTTGGATTTTAATAACTTTTTTTTTAATTTTATTTCTGGTTTTAAATACAGTTTGAGGCTGAAGATTTGGAAAAGGGGAAGGGGACTACTGTAAAGGAAGAAGAAGCAGGGGAGGAAAAATCAGAGATCACCACGAAAACTGGCAGAGGCATTTCGTGCTCAAATGTTTCAGAGGTCAAAAAGCCCGATTTCATTCATGTCCGGGCCCGTCGAGGTCAGGCCACCGACAGTCACAGTCTAGCTGAAAGAGTATGTGTCCTTCAACTGCCCTTAAAATGAAATAAAAGATATTTATTTATATTTGGTGTATCTTAAGTGTTTGATGAATTGTTTGTGTGATGAGATTTAGAGATGTCATGGTTCTTTTGTAGGCAAGAAGGGAGAAAATAAGAAAAAAGATGAAATGTCTGCAAGATTTAGTGCCTGGGTGTAATAACGTTATTGGTAAAGCTGGGATGCTTGATGAGATTATAAACTATGTTCAGTGTCTACAGAAGCAAGTAGAGGTATACTTAATCTATATAAGCCTTATATGTAAATGGAACAATTTATCGCCCTTAACTTGTTATTAATTCTTCATGAGTAATTATGCAGTTCCTCTCTATGAAGCTGGCTATAGTTAACCCAAGGCTCGATTTTTGCATCGATAGTACCTTCAAAGAGGTATTTATTTCTTTTAACGATTCCCATACTTAAGCAATCAATTATTTTGCATTTGTTATGTTGCTTATTGTGACTGACAATTATGCTTTATAGCTGCCTACATATATTTCCAGTCAATCAGCAGCAACACAGCTTGAGTTGCCAAATCCGACGTTTTTCCAGTATAATACAATGCAACAGGGGACTTCAAGTAGCGGATTAAGTGATGTGGCTATTGATCAACCTCAGATTTTTTCCCAAAAGCCAGGACAAATCCAGGAAGTTTTTCCGGATTCGTCTTTTATCTCTGTACGTAATTTCTTGAACGTGCTATTGCAACTCTATATTGTCCTCGTTTATTATGAAATCATGGATTCTTACAAGGAATAATATTTGTGTTCTGCAGCAATTGCAGCAGCTGTCTGGTTGGGAATCAGATTGGCCCAACCTATTCAATTAGTTCTGAAAGAATATCTTTGTTGTTGGGTTGCCTCTTGATTTATTCTGCAGATAAAGTTAGTTGCCCTACTAATAATTAATGTAGAGCATATATTCATAGAACTTTTCGCCTTTCTTTTATAGCCAAGGTTCCTGTTGGTTGAATCAGAATTGAGGACTAAAACAATTAATCTCGCCATTCAAGAGATATTGAGATTGCAACACAGACTTGTAGAATGTAATACATCTTTGGTAAAATTCCATTTGTGTATAGTCCATAACTTGATGTACTTATTTTTTTTCAGTAATTATAAAAAGATTCTAATATGTAATAACTTACTGAATTGTTAATTTTTCACTGCTGTTTTGATGTGGAAATGTGTGTGTATGAAAGGAGGGCATTACAATTGGGTACTTTAATCGTATTGGGCACAAAAAAGGTAGGAATTGAAAAGGAAATGAGATTGAAAAAGAGGATTTAAACACTGGTTGCTATTTTAAGTGGTCCAGTTTTTTATGGTGGCTTCATTACAGAGGACCACCATTATAGCAATGGATTATATATTCAATATGACTGTATGAGCAGTAGTCGATAGATTTTCTGTCAATATAAATAGAAATCTGCAATTAATATATGGATAAAATTTGTGTGTCATAGTGTTGGACCAACCATGAACTGCAATAATGTTTACTCACCACATTGTTATCGGATGTAATGAAAATAAGAGAGAAATGAATAACGTAAGAATATTATATTAAATAGATAAATAAGATCAAGCCCCTCATCCATTAATTTCCATTTTTTTTGTCCANTTACATTTTCATCCACGGATTTGCATATTCAAATTCAATTGCCTTCTGACAGGAAAATAGGAACTTTAGCACCATCTTCCAAAACCCTTCTAGCTCACGTAAAATAGTTACTCAACTTAACCATTGATTTACGAATTTTCTCCATTGTAAACATAGAATTGCGACGACAATCCCCATATCTTTCTTTTTCATAAATATTTTTTCTCTTTCTTGTGAAATATATTCAACATGAAATCTGTAGTATGAAGGGAGGAAGCTTGATCAGTCGAGCTTTTTTGTCTTGGCACGTCACAAAAGATTTTGTTTGGAGCTTTTACATGCTACTGTTGCGAGTATAGAAAGCAAGAAAAACTTTAGGATGGTGAAGGGCAAAGCCAATTTTGTTTGTTATTGGTCTTCTTGAGAACTCAACTGATATTTTACATAGATGGGTGATGTTTTAAGTGAAAAATGCGGTGAAAACTATCGATATGAAACTTGTAATCCTTATGGCTTTTGTGCTAGTACCATTATAGATCTCTCTA